AAAGAGCACGGCTTGAGGACTCAGGGGATCTGGCTTCCAGAGCTGCCACCAGCTAGTTGCCTGTCTTTGGACAAATCACTGCCTGTGTGGCCTCCTTTATCTTCTGTAAACTGGTCCTTGACAATCTGGAGTGGCAGTTGGGGTTCATCCAGATCTGCTCTTCTTTGATGTTTATAAGTGTTCTCAGCCAGGTATCAAAATGGCAAAATTATGAGAAATTGTAGCTTCTTTTCACCTTTGGGAGAAAATGGGGTATGAAGACGTCTCAAACTTACTCAGACCTGAGGAAGAAGAAAATTATAAAGAGAGGAAAAAGCACAAGACTTAGCCTTGGACTTGGAATGTAAGAGAGCCCCAAATGTGGCAGGGATAATGTCCAGGGTGTATTCCGTTCGCTAGAATTTTTGCCTTTCCCTTGAGGTGAACAACTGCAGAATACACTCTTTAATCGACTGATCACACTCCCAGATTCTGGGGTTCAGACTTAAAGTCCAGCCCTGGGAGATAACGTGGGTCTAAGGCATCTGTCAACTGTAGGATTAGTGAGAACAATCTAGAGAACAGGGAGCCTGGACAGCAGAGGTTGATTGATGTTTTAGTATAACTAGAGACTGCAGAACTTTGGACTAACTTGTTTTTGAGTCCTGAAAGAAAGACTTGCTTTGAAAATGGTACGTAGGGCTTGGGAGGCAGAACTTCACCTTGAAGACGGACGGCATGGGCGTCAGACAGATCCCAGAACAGATGCCAGCTGTGCCATCATTTAGCTTCTGTGCTGCTGGCCTTGGGGCCCCCGTGACTATGGCGGGAGGTTAGGGGCAGCGATCTGGTTAGGGAGCTCTGGGGACTAAAGTTTTATTTGTAGAGCACTTAGAAGATGGAGAACCACCAATTGTCACTGTCGATGACTGGGGGTAAAGAGGAGGGTTTAGAGAGTGCTCTGTAGCACCCGTGTGTTGAAAGCAAGGGATTTAACTTTGCAGATCCTCAGGTCTATTCATATGAAAAATTGGAATAAAAATATCCACATTCTAGAGTTAGTATGAGAATCAAGTGAAATAATGTCTATAAAGGTCTTAGCACACTTCCTGGAGCATAGGATAGTGCCAGGGATGTCTAGCCAGAAATGATTTGTTTGTTCAACAAAATGCATCAGAACACTGGCAGCAGGAACACACACTGAGTCAAGCACAGTGGCTGGTGGAGCTTTGCAGTGGTAAGATGCCAGACCTGGAATTAGGAGTTGTGGGCTCTCGTGTTTGGTTTACTGAAGCTATGTACTGAGAAGTCACCTAATTGGGCTGGAGAGGCTCAGTCTGGTATCTGTAAAATTGCGGGGGCGGGGGGGGGCGGATTTTGAACTAGAATAGTCTTCAGGACTCCTTCCAGCTCTGACAATCTGCAAAAAAGACACATTTATGCCTTCTGGAAGCTCCAACCCAGATGAATAGAACACACTAGATGTAATCCTGACATAAGGCTGGTCTCCACCTGCAAGCACAACAATCCTGCGAAAGATGTTCAGCTCATTCATCCACTCAACAAAGACTTACTGAGCACCTACTCTGAGCACCTACTCAGGCACAGTAGAACCTCTGCCCTGATGAAAATTACATTCTTGTGGAGGAGGCAGACAGTAAAAAAAAATTAACCAAATGAACATATAGTTTCATGTAGAGATAAGTGCTGTAAAGAACAGAGAACAGGGTGATGGATTAAAGGATTAAGGGAACTCAGAAATCACAGCTCTGAATGGCACAAAGCCACGGTTCAAACCCAGATGTGACTCCCAGCACCCTGTGTACTCCTCCACCACACTGCTTCCGCCTGTAGATACATTCCGGAATGTATGTCCAAGGCAGGATGTCTGCACCTTGTTTTTGGGTGTCTTACACTGTAGATGTGTGTATGTATAATCACACATGTGAATACACACCTCCTCCCATGACCCCAAAAATCACTACGATTGAATGTCAGTGCCGCTGGAATATCCTTGCTGCAGATTAATTGCTGGTAATTGTGAAAACTGCTCTTTCCCAAAGATAACAGAATGTATTTATTAGACACAACCAAAGAGAATGTATTTCTATTGTTAAGGGTATTGCTCAGTGATCAAAATCCTTTCCTTCTTGGTTGCTAGTAAAGTTTTTTTCTCCCTGCTCTCTTCCTTCTTTTCTAGTTTCGGAGCTACTTTTCTCTACCTTTATGCATCCTGAGTGTACATGTCTTTCTAAGTCAACTCATATGTCTACTGGAAACAAATAAAGTATAGATTATGAGCCATTATAAACATGTTCTGGAAGAGGTTTGTCCAAGATCTCATGCTGATCCGCATAACAATGCTGGAATCAGAATCCACTCAAGGCCACACCATTTCACAAAATTCCATGAGCTTCCTTTCGTTTCAAGTCCCTCAAGCTTTGAAAAGGGGAGCTATTGTCCCAGTTGGGTCACTGGGGGGTGGATTAAGGATTTTGGAGTTGCTGGACCTGGGTTCACATGCAGACTCTGCCACTCGTTAGCTGAGTGTCCTTGGACGAGCCACTTAATCTTGCTGAGTCTATTCTTTCATTTTCAAAATAACAGCACCCATCTCATGGGGCGATTGTGAGGACTGAATAAGCTATTATATGTAAACTCTTTTTTTTCTGCCAGTGCTAGTTTCTACCAATGGTGATGTTTATTAACTGTAAAAAGTACCAGATATGGCTCCAGGCACATGGTGGGTACTCAGTCATGGCCGGCTCTACTTTCAATATTAATAACAATAAAGCGTAGTGCCTTATGGTAAATGTGAGTTTGCAGACACAGATGAGAAAAATCATAATTAAAAAAAATAGGCTATGTATTTACCAGTGGTTTCAAAATCTTCCATGGTTAAGAGTCCTCTGCGATGCTTTTGAAAATGCAGATTCTAAGACCCTACACCAAATATTCTGATTTGGTAGGTTTGGGTGGGGCCCAGGAATCTGCATTCAAACAAGGAATCACGAGGCAATTTTGGAGTGGAGACCCAAGGAACACCCACTTAGAAACCCCGATCTAGAAAGTATATGGGGAGAGTGACAAAAGTGAAAGGGGACAGACGTGGGTAAGGTATAGGCTGTTAGGAGTGGTATTGAGTAAACTTCTGGTGATTGGACCAGAGTACAGCCCTTACTATGCAAGAAACAGAGCCTTTAACGTGGACATTGTGTCTAGAGCAGAGGGAATTGTATAGAATGAATGACATTTAGGAGCCTGAGTTCTTTTTTTGTTAATTAATTAATTTTATTGGAGTCTAGTTGATTCACAATGCTGTGCTGATTCCTGCT